TTTAGAGACCTAAGATGTAACTGATTAACATTTATGACATTTATTGATTATCAACACACCTCTAAGAGACTGATAATACCCTAACTGGCTAATGAACAAATGTCTAATATTAGTAATACTCATTCACAACTGTATCACTACAAACGCAACAATTCTGAGTTACAGTTATATTGCCTGTTAGTAGTAGTAGTAATTCACAATTATATGACTATGAAGAAATTGTATATATCGCATGCAAGCTCTATCATACTGCAGTTCTATTGCCTTCCCTTCTCCACGTAGTATTAGGGCACAAGCCCATCCCTTCTCACCCCACCCTTGCAGGCCAAGTGTTTTGGACATAGACCTGGTGAGAGTCCAGCGGGTTGTCCCAGGGGTGTCGTCTAGCATCCTGGGGGGCTTGGGGCCACAGGTCAGCTTTACCACTGGAGGTGTCCACACTTCTGCAACCAGAATATCCCACCCTTCTTTGTTCTCCACTGCATTATACCTAATGCCTGTTATTTTCATCATTTCCTGGTTTTTTTCCTATTTAGTTATTTTAATTCCTAGTGTTTATTTCCCTCAGCCCACTTTTTCACCATCTCTGCACCTCCCTTTCTCTGCCTAGACTCGTCCCAGACAAGTGGGACCTATTTAGTGACCTGGCCCTAGGTTTTTTTTTTTTCCTCATTGGTCCCAATTCTGCTACATCCACACCACATTTTGGTGTTTCTAGCACTGTTTATCTAGGCAGTTTTGATACAATATGGTATTACTACTCATACTGTTATCTAGATACTCCCAAGACTCCCTTCAGATCCTTTCGTTCAAGTTGGTTACATTTCATCTATACCACATGCTTTTTGGACAGAATTATGTTATCTTACTTTAGCCTTGACTTCCCTGCTAACTCTGTTTAAGCCAAGTAGTTTCTTGTTTTATGCAAAGACAGCATGCACACCAGAGCAACGAAATAACCCATTTTGTGCTCACACAGTCTCTTTGCCCTTGAACAGTTTCAGTTGCCCTCCTAGTTCCAATGGCAGCGTTAGCTGATTTCAAAGCCCAGTGTTCGAGCAGAGCTCTTACTCACAGTGTGGCCCTGCACATGCCAGTGCTTCCACCCAAGTACATCCTTGCACATGGCAAGCAGACGGTGCAGAAGTCACCAAGAGAATGTCTTGCTACTTCAAAGCCTCACCACAGGCCTTTCTTAGCACAAGAGGACACAAGCAAGAAAGGGCATAAAGAAGAAGGCAGAAATCAGTCTCCTACAGCCTGCACTGCTGACACAGTGGCAGACAATGGCAGTGGGAAAGAGCCCAGGCCACATCATGTCTTCCTGCAGCAACCTCTTCCTTCTTCTGCACAGCAGGGAGAAGCTGAAGTAGAAGCAGAAGGGAGAGCGAGCAGCCAGCCAGCCCAGCACCCTGCTGTCACCAGCAGCCCTGCAGAGTCAGCACCATCTCCTGCCACCTGCAGGAGCCTCTTTTGCTTGAACGTATTACCAACAGGAAAGGGAAAGGGACCTGGAATCAGTACTCCTTCTCCAACCATTTTAATGAGGCTGATTGTATAATCTCCTCAGACCTTCTCACTTCATCTGAGTGGAAGGGAGCAAAATTTGCTTTCAATCACCCACTTCTATTTGAGAAACAATATACAGCACAGTGAGCTGAAACTTTTAAGGTCCAGTTGAATAGGTTTCCCCAGAGAGCTGCAGGACTAGGAGTATAAGAGACATAAAAAAGAGGAGGTCTAAAGAAAATATTGGACCGATACTTGTTGAAGATGGTCATCTGGCTAATAGGGATGAAGAAAAAGTGGCTGCATTCAATGCTTTCTTTGCCTCAGTCATAGTAAGACTGGGCTGCCTGGTCCCCTGAGTCAGAGGACCACGAGTGTGGGAACAGTGACTTTCCATTTGTGGTCAATGACATTGTAAGGGACCAGCTGTATCAGCTCGATGTTCACAAGTCCATAGGGCCTGCATTGGGTTTGTGTGGCAGGGTTTTGGTAGTGGGGGAGGGGGCTACCTTGAGAAGCTGCTCGAAGCTTCCCCAGCTCCAAGTCGGACCCACCTCTGGCCAAGGCTGAGCCCATCAGTGACAGCGCTATCAATCACCTCTGGGAGAACAGAGTGAAGAGGGGGAACCTGCAGCGAGGAGGGGATTGGGATGTGAGAGGAACCCCTCTGCGGACACCAGGTCAGGGAGGAAGGAGGGGAAGAGGTGCGCCAGAGGAGCAGATGCCCATCTGCAGCCTGTGAAGGACCCCACGCCAGAGGAGGTGGATGCCCCTGAAGATGTCCATGACTCCATGGGAAAGCCCGCGCTGGAGCAGCCTGTGTCTGAAGATCTGTGGCCCGCAGAAAGGACCCACGCCAGGGAAGTTCATGGAGGACTGTCTCTCGTGGGAGGGACCCTACCGTGGAGCAGAGGACGAGTGAGGAGTCCTCCCCCTGAGGAAGAAGGAGCGGCAGAGACAAGGGGTGGCGAGCTGACCCCAACCCACATTCCCCGTCCCCCTGCGCTGCAGAGGGGAGGAGGGAGAGAACTGGGAGTGGGGTTGAGCTGGGAAGGAGGGAGGGGTGGGGGGAAGGTGTTTTAAGATTTGGGTTTACTTCTCATTATCCTGTTTTGATTTGATTGGTAACAAATGAAATTGATTTCAGGTTTTTTTCCCAAGTCAAGTCTGGGTTTTGTCCGTGACAGTAATTGGTGAGTGATCCCTCCCTGCCCTTGTCTTGACCCACAAGCTTTTCTTTATATTTTCTCCTCATCATCCCACAGGGGGACAAGTGAGCAAGCGGCCTCATGGTGCTTTGTTGCCAGCTGGTCTTAAACCATGACAGGGCCTGGGTTCATCTCTGGATTCATCCCAGAGTTCTGAAGAAGCTAGTGGATGTTATGGCAGGACCCCCCTTGATCATCTACCAAAGGTTTTGGGAGTCCAGGGAGGTCCCTGCTGACTGGAAGCTAGCCAATGTTATTCCAATCTACAAGAAGGGCATGAGGTAAGACCCAGGGAAGACCTCTTAGTCTTAGTTAACCTCTTAACCTCAGTTCCTGGAAAAATTATGAAGAAGATTATACTGGGCACTATTGAAAGGCATTTGAAGAATAACGCAATCATCAGGCACAGTCAATAAGTGTTCACAAAGGAAAGTCCTGTTTAACTAATTTGATATCCTTCTATGATAAGGTTACCCGCCTAGTGGATAAGGGAAGGTGGTGGATGTAGTTTTTCTGGATTTTAGTGAGGCTTTTGATGCTATCCCTCACAGCATCCTTCTGGACAAGTTGTCCAACTGTGGGATGAGTGGATTCACGGTGTACTGGGTGAAGAACTGGCTGAACAGCAGGGCTCAAAGGGTTGCAGTGAATGGGGCTGCATCTGGCTGGCGACCAGTCATCAGTGGTGTTCCTTAGGGTTCAACTCTAAGGCCAGTCCTGTTCAATATATTTATCAATGATTTGGGTGCAGGAGTTAAACGCACCATTAGCAAGTTTGCTGATGATACCAAACTGGGAGGTGCTGTTGACTCTCTTGAGGGACAAAAGGCCTTGCAGAGGGATCTAGATAGATTGGAGCATTGGGCAATGATTAATGGGAAGAAATTTAACAAGTCAAAATGGAGGATTCTGCACCTAGGACGGAGTAATGCCGGGCCCAAGCATAAACTGGGAGAGGAGTGGCTGGAGATCAGCCCTGCAGAAGGAGATCTGGGGGTGCTGGTTGGCAGCAGGCTCAATATTAGTCAGTGGTGTGCCCTAGTAGCCAACAGGGCAAACCACATCCTGGGGTGCATCAAACACAGCATAACCAGCTGCTCAAAAGACGTGATTATCCTGCTGTATTTAGCATCGGTGTGGCCTCACCTTGAGTACTGTGTGGAGTTCTGGGCCCCACAATTTAAGAGGGATGTGAAGGTCCTTGAATGAGTCCAGAGGAAGGCAACAAAGGTGGTGAAAGGGCTGGAAGGCATGTCCTATTAGGAGTGGCTGAGGAATTTGGGGTCATCAAGTTTGAAGAACAGGAGGCTGAGGGGAGACCTCGTTGCTCTCTACAGCTTCCTGAGGAGGGGAAGTGGAGAGGGAGGTGCTGAGGTCTTCTCCCTGGGATCCAGTGATAGGGAATGGCTCAAAGCTGCATCAGGGGAGGTTTAGACTGGACATGAGGAAGCATTTCTTTACCGAGAGGGTGGTCAAACACTGGAACAGGCTTCCTAGAGCGGTGGTCGATGCCCCAAGCCTGTCAGTGTTTAAGAGGCATTTGGACAATGCCCTTAATAACATGCTTTAACTCTTGATCAGCCCTGAATTGGTCAGGCAGTTGGACTAGATGATCGTTGTAGGTCCCTTCCAACTGAAATAGTCTATTCTATTCTAAACAATCCCAGAAGAGATCCATTAGCAAGGAGACATGCATTGCTGCAAAAAACACTTCACCAATGTCAGCAACAGTATCACATCTTACTGTTAAGAGTCACTTTTTCTTGACAGGGAGCACAGATTCTCCTCTCACTGCCAAAGCTTCATCTCGGTGCCAGCAGCCACAGCCAGGCTGCATTGCCAGTTGCCACTTTTCACTATCATCCGGCATCTCACTTCACTTTACTGCCAAAACCCTCACCTCAGTGCCAAGACCCACTGTCACAGCTCACTGCCATCTGGCAGTTCCCATTGCCAACCCCACACAGTCTCGTCTTACTGGGTGCATCTGCAAAGGAATGACTGCTCTCACCAAAGGCATGACTGCTGCTGACGTAGACAGACAGCAGTACCTGCAGAGCTGTGGCAGCACTAACTGCAAACCTAGCCTAGCAAAAGCATCCATGCAACCATGGGAGTACTTGGTCTGCACGAGGGCCACACTGCCCCCACGCCGCTGCTTGGTGAGGGATGTGATTCCCAAGGTGGGCTGATGGGGCAAAGGCTACACGGATTAGAGTCACAGCCTTGGCTGAAGGCAAGAAACACCCCACAGCTGCTTCCCAGTCCTTCTGCTCCTTGACGATGTTATCAGAGAAGCTGCATCCTTTCCATAAAGACACCCCAGGGGACTGCATGAAGGATTCATGGTAATGTGACCAATGTTAAAACCACCAGATTAAAAGGCAGCAATTCCCAAGTGACCGGGAACTGACAAGGACAAGGACAACACACAGTGGCCCTTGGGGAAATGGCTAAGCTGGGACAAACTGTAATATAAGAGACAGTGAGTGGGATTGTGTGTGAACTCTGGACACCTACAATGTGGAAATGATTCATCTCACTTTGAAGAGGACCTCTGCATTTTGTCACATGAACTGCACCATTACTTTTAGTTATTTCTCCTCCTACATGATTCAGGAATAGTGCTCTACAATATCTAGCTCAGATGCCTTCACATTTGAACAGATAAATCTCACCCTGCACCTAGAGGTAGTGTACCCTCTGCTTAGAAGGCATATTCTAGATGCTACAGGTCTCCGCATCAGAATTTGCAATCAGTCTCTCACTTTTACTCATTTGCTTTTAAATTTCTGAACTTTCAGAACTTCAGAAAACAAGATTTTAAAAAGCCACACACTTTACCTTGAAGAATCAATATAGTCTGTATGATAATACCAAATGATTTATTCAAACTGTCTAAAAATAATACTCCTTTTTTGATCTTTTGTTAGAATTAATTAGAATTCATTCACATGACTTTCCACTTTGATCTGTAAATCAATTTCTGACCCTACCAGCAGTTTGTGAAATATTTATTAGCACAGGATTATTATCACAGCCTGCTTATTGTCTAGATTATCCAGCAGCACACATGCCAGCATATTATTGCTGAGAAACTTGGCTATGGTATTTGTCTGTAAATTATGGCAGTAATTTTCTGTGTCCCAGTCTCTGCCCTACTACACGTTTCTGTTTACCCACATGTTTTGGTCTGACAGTACTGTTCCATCTTGACTGTCTCTTTGGCCTGCTATACAGACATAATCTTGCCAAGCAAGATTACAAAATCGATATGATTAAATCAAATAATGGTATTATAATGAAGTAAGCTCCAAAAGAGAAATTTAAATTACTTGTGGATGTCATACTTATTTTAAAAGTGGAGTGTCTGATTTATGGTTATTTTTCTATGCCAGTAGGACTCCTTGCATATTAAATGTGAAACTAGATATAATTTAGGGGGAAGATACAATAAATGTCTACAAAAGCATATGCGTCATGGAAAAGATGAATAGGGATTGATCCAAATACCTTCCCATAACTGGGGCCCATCAAATTAAACTATGTTTGAAACAAACAGAAACTGAAACAAACAGTGGTGTTGATATAACAGGTTGTAATCCTGTGGAATTCCTTAACAAAAAGGCTGTGGATGCCAGAAATTTGCACAGTCCCAACAGGAGACCAGAAAGAATACTGTGGGAAGAGACCTTTTGGGGGTTATTACACCATCACAAGCTCAGGAAATGCCCTGAACATAGTTGAAAGATGGGGCAGTGGCAGGGAAAAGGCATCAACACAGGTTGCCTCATTGTTATGCTTCCTTAATTGTCCAGTTATGGCCACACTTGGAAATGTAATGAGGGACTAGAGGGACCCAGGATGGCTGCTCCTATGTTCTTAAAGTTTGTAGATGTTTACACCGAGCTTCCTCAGAAATGGTTGCTAGAGGCTGGCATTATTTCCTCATGGGAAAACACGAGGAAGCATCTAGAGTCAGCATCTAGATAGCAGGCAAGTGGTAAGGGCTTAGGCAGGGGAAGATAGGAGGAGAAATACCACAGGAAGCCTCTGAAAGCAAAAAGCAAGCAGTTGTTTTGAATTAAATAACTGGACGGGCAAAAGAAAGGATTCAAAAAGGAGATGACAAAGTGAGGATTATGAAAATGGTCTTTCAGCAACGATCTCAATGAGTAGGACAAGAATGTCAACAGAGGAGAAAAGCACAGTAAAACGACTACGATGTTGAAAGTCTGAGCAAAATTTTTGCAGAAGATTAGCTGTACTGCCTCAGGCTGTCAGTCCACCTTGCTCAGTATCATCCCTCTGGCAGCAGCAATAACAAGTGCATAAGGAGTTTCAGTTGTTTGTTGTTGGAATGGAAAGCCAGTATGTTAAGGGCTGATAAAATACACGCACAGCCCAAATACAGCTATGGCAAGAGAATTTGTTGCATCCCTCCATCACTGCAGTTAGGAAGGATTGTTGAGATGGTACCTCTCTTCCCTGTCTTCTGCCCATGAGGCAGATACTGCGTGTTGGTCCTTACAGAGGACCAACAAGCCACAGAGCCTATGGAAGGTGAGGAGCAGGGAAGATGAACCAAGTGATGGTGACAGCTTCAGGTTTAGGCTCTCCTGCCTTCTCATCCTCAGTGCTCTTCAGCAGCATGTGGCACTGACAGCTTTGTGTCTGCTGCCTGGGATCCTTCATCAGGGCTGTCACCATCAGGCCATCCTTCTTGCCTTGCTCATTACCCCCCTCCCTGGATGGAAGGACTCCTGCCAAGACGTACTATTTAATTTTGCACCAAATATTTAAACTTGAATAACAAGCAGGACCATCATATTGTTCACAGTGGCTGCGGAATGGGAAATTTCAAGGAAAAGATGAAAATCTCGGCCTTACTCATGCTACGTTGCAGATGACAACTGCAAATCTTTGAGAGAACTGTCAGCGATACTTGTTTAAGCGCATCTCTGGTTTTCATCTAAGTACTGCTAAATATAAAATCCGTAAGCAACTTAAGAAAGAGGAACTGTGACCCGAAGCTTTTGTCTGAACGCCATAGCTGCTGGCTACGATGCAGCACATACGTCCCCCTTTGATGCCGTGTGGTCCAGCTTTTGCCCAGGGAGCGATAATACGTGCTCCGTCCCCAGCCCGTTCCAGCGATGGACAGCAAGGCCTGCTCCCCTGTGTGAAGACACAGGCCCGAACCCCACTAGGCTGAGGCAAGCCGAAAGCTGCCCTCTGCGTTTCTGGCAAGCTCTCCACCCCTCGGGCTGCTTTATCAGGCACGACTAACCCCACACGAGCTTTAAAAAGCAAGCAGCTGGAAGGGTTTCTGACGGGAGCACCTAAACCCTGACGTGCCCGCAGGTTCCAGACCTTCAGGGCGCAGCCAGCTCGGGTGAGGGTCTCCCTTTCCCTCACGGCCGCCACTCCCCTCCCCCTTCTCACAAGCCAC